CATATACCATTCCTCCTCCTCCTCATCATCATGTTCGTTTCTGCAAGTCCCCGTTAAAGCTCACAACATATGCGCAAAATGGTGGTGGTGGTGGCAACGACTCGGCCAAGGAGTCTTCTAATGACAGAAACAAACCGGTTGGTAACGATGATGGTGATGGTCCTAAGAAAGATCGTTTCCCTGGATTCAGTTTCAGGTGGAGCGAGCTGTTGAATCCGGATGCAGATAACTTTGCGGCGGTTGGATTAGCTGGAGTATTGACATGGGCTAGCCTTCAAGTCTTATCCCAGCTTTTCTTCATCTCTTTTGCTATCCTTGTCGCTGCTCTCAAGTATTCTTTCATCGCTGCGCTTCTCATTTTCATCCTCGTCACTCTCCTGTAATGGCTGGCACAGATTGTACAAGTCCATAATAGCTCTTGTTACCATTGCTTTTTTTATAGTGATTGATTTGAACAAATAGCACAAAGACATGATGAGCTTACGTTCTTAAAACACTGAAGCTAGGATGTTTCAGAAACAATTATGGCATTACACAGATATCTTGTAATGGCGATAATCAATCAAAATTATTATCTCATTTAGACTCCATTATTAAGCTTTATAACCAAAATCCAGAACATGTCTTTTCATATCAAATGTCTAGAAAAAAAGAGAGAGATTACAAAACAAGATTTGCTACTTTTTAGATGACTTCTTCTTCGAGCTAACAACGACTTCAGGTTTAGGATGCTTCTCTGCTTCACTTGGATCCAACCACTTGAGAGGATGACGGTTGAAGAATGGCCAATTTGGTATGGTGATCAACGTCGTGACACCAACACCTCCCGCATAAATCAACATCATCGTCCTGAAGGAAGCCGTCGTGTAACCAACAACGAACGCCACAACGGCGGCGATCAAGAGCAGGATCTGCATCAACTGCTCCGCTAATTTCTGTCCTTGCCAATCCATCCCTTAAACAACGATAAAAACGATTAGATCCTTCGAATTGAATCCAGATTTTAAATACACGTAATGCAAATGATAATCACAGGATTTGAGTCTATAAGATCAATCATTATGAAACTTGAAGCCGTGCACGGATCAGATCTCATCAGAGAAACCATACCTGGAAAAATGATGTGAATCTTCTGGAAGGAAGTGAATCTGGGGGAAGAGGAAGATGACTGACTCCGAAATTGGTTTTGGAAGGCAAACTAAACTAAACCGGAACTCTTGACTAATGCAACTAATTTAACACACAGCCCCGTACGTAACGTACCCGTAGGTAGGATTCTACAATCAATTAATGGGCCTTATCTTTAAGCCCAATGATGTTTCTACCTAAATTGATTCAGAACGGTTAATTTCAACGATCCGTGACGTTTTGTAGTCGACCAATAGAAATCGAGTATGTATGATTGGTGATCCGCGTCAAACCTGTAAAGGTAGATCTGAACCGTTGACTGGTAGAGAGAAAACACATATTGTGATATTTTGGTCGGTACGATTAAAAACACGAGAAACACACTGATGAGCGATAACAACCGTCGGATCGTCAACTTTGGTTTAATATCGTTGCCTATAAATTTTGTATCAAGAGCCTCACACGCGAGATTACGTTTCATTATCTTCCTTTTCGAGATCGGAGCACAAATTTGAATTCAGAGAAAGCGAAAGAGAAGGTAACAGTTCTCCGAAATTTTCCAGATTATTTCCGGTGATTGATTCTTCGTCGTAGGATCGTTAAGCTTCTGTAGTCGTTTGATTAGTTTCTATTCTCGATCGTTACCTTCTTTAGCCTCCGATTCGGCTTCTGGGTTTAGATTTTAGGTGAAGGAGGAATGGTTTCGCTAGATTGTTTATTAGGTCATGATGTCGCGGTGGCGGCTATAAGATTGTAGATGCTTTTCACGGATTTGAATATCTGTGTATGTTAATTAGGGTTTCCGTGCATTGATGATTTGTGATTTGTCTATAATCTTGTTGATCTAACGATTTGTTTGTGAATCGAATGCTCACTGTTTTGCATCTTATCGTAATTGTCAGATGGCTCGTACAAAGCAGACCGCTCGTAAGTCTACCGGAGGAAAGGCCCCTAGGAAGCAGCTTGCTACTAAGGTATGGACTCTCTCTCTCTCGTTCTATCTGTGTAGATTATGTTACATATTGTTGAGAATTTAGGTTTTAAAATCTTTTAACAGGCTGCTCGTAAGTCTGCACCAACCACTGGTGGAGTCAAGAAGCCACATCGTTACAGGCCTGGAACTGTTGCTCTTCGGTATGTGATATGTGCCTCACACTATTAAATGTATCCGGTTTTTGTGATTGATTGTCAATATCCTTTGATACTGATATACTCTGTTTTGTTTGGTTGTTGCTGACAGTGAAATCCGTAAGTACCAGAAGAGTACTGAGCTGTTGATCAGGAAGCTCCCTTTCCAGAGGCTTGTTCGTGAGATTGCCCAGGATTTCAAGGTAATGTGTGATAGATTTCAGTCTCTTGCATTGTAATTCTTGTGCTTACTTGTGGGATTCAAGTTCTCCTATGTTCATCATTATAACTCTTGTGCTTTTCTTCATGTATGTGAGTGCAGACTGACCTGCGTTTCCAGAGCCATGCGGTGCTAGCACTCCAGGAGGCAGCAGAAGCATACCTTGTGGGACTCTTTGAGGACACTAACCTGTGCGCCATTCATGCCAAGCGTGTCACCATCATGCCCAAGGACATTCAACTCGCTCGCAGGATCAGAGGAGAGCGTGCTTAAGTGTTGTTTGTTGGGTCGGGTCCTATTATGTGAATGTGGGTTTGCTGTTCTAAGTAGACGTAGCTGGAATTTTTAGTTAATGGGCTTATAAGAAGCTTTTGGTGTTAGGTGACTCTAAAACAATGATGATGGTGTTTGGTTTTTCTTATTTTCTGTTCAAGTCGGTTTGTTGATTGCGTTGTGTATTGCAGCTACTTGTTTTTGTGAACCTCAATGTTGTTTTGAATTTCATTTCTAAAACAATTAGTATGTTTAAGTTTCCTTCTTTTTTATTGTTTTGGATTATATGAGTATATGAATCGGCTTAACTTTGCCAACTGTTAAACGTATAACCCAATTATACATACCAAAAAAAAACGTATAACCCAATTATATGCATTGCCTTTCGTAAATGGTAAAATCCGTGTTAGCGTACTTAAGCCAAACCCCAAGAGACCATAGATGTTAACTCAAATTATATCTTAATGTTCCGTTTAGTGACTTCGTTCCTCTTGCAGAACTCTTTTTTAGCCAATCTAAAGTTTCAATGTTGTCCGTAAATATTAAATAATAAAATACTGTGCTTGATGCTAAATATTTGACCTTGTGATAATTTATAAAATATCAGATTATGAAATAAAATTAGTTAGTGGTTGGCAAGGAGAAAGACATCATCTTTGGAAATAAAGTCCGAATTGATCGGCTCTTGTTTGTTTTGTTGCCGATAAAAACCAAATCTTTCCCCTACAAAAAAGGAAGCAACGTTCTTTATTTGACCAATAGATTTTTCTCCAACCCTTTAAAACAATTTCTCTAACAAAAACCCATTCATATTTTAACCAAAAACTTTGCTCTTCTGTTATAATAAATAAAAAGAAACATATTGATAATCGTCAATGGGAGAAGTTGACGAGAAACAATCTATGAACAGGGCTTCTCCGAGGTTTCATTCTTCAAACAAAGTTGCGGATATTGACACAGAGTTGTCCAAGATGAAGGCTTCTTCTCTTGACAACAACAACAAAGAAAGCGACGTCGTTTCCTTAAAAGCCGCGCTCTTGGAGAAAGATGCCTTGTTAAAGAATCTTCAAACAGAGTTAGAAGAATCAAAGGTGGAGATTGCTTCTTTAAAAGAGAGGATCGACGGTTCTTTCCACAGCCAAGATTCAAGCGAAGACGATAGCTCTGTTCAAGATTCCGATATCGAGTCTCTGAAGATCGAGATGGAGTCCACCAAGGAGAGTCTCGCACAGGCTCACGACGCCGCAGAGGCTTCTTCTCTGAAGGTATCCGACTTGCTCGAAGAGATGAAGTCTGTTAAGAACGAGCTTAAAGAAGCAACCGAAGCAGAGATGACGAGCAAGAAAGCTATGGATGATCTAGCCTTGGCGTTGAAAGAGGTAGCTACTGACTCTAGCCAGACGAAGGAGAAGCTTGCGGTTGTTGAAACAGAGCTCGAGGCTGCGAGGGCTGATTCCAAGGAGTGGAAGGAGAAGCACGAGGAGGTGAGGAAAGAAGCTGAGCTTCTCAAGAACACTAGCGAGAGGCTTAGGATCGAAGCGGAGGAGTCTCTTACGGCTTGGAACGGGAAAGAGTCTGTGTTCGTGAGTATTATCAAGAGAGGTGAAGATGAGAAGAGTTCGCTTCTTGATGAGAACAATAGGTTGCTTGTGGCTCTCGTCGCTGCTGAGAATCTTAGCAAGAAGGCTAAGGACGAGAATCAGAAGGTTAGAGATATACTTAAACAAGCGATTAGTGAGGCTAATGTAGCTAAAGAAGCAGCGGGGATTGCTAGGGCTGAGAATTCGAATTTGAAAGATGCCTTGTTGGACAAGGAAGAGGAGTTACAAGATGCTATGAAGGAGATTGAGAGAGTTAGGGTTAATGAAGCGTTGGCTAATGAGAATGTTAGGAAGCTGAAGAAGCTCTTGTCTGAAGTTGAGGTAGCTATGGAGGAAGAGAAACACAGGAGCTTGAGCAGGCAAGAGTCGATGCATAAGGACGTTGAAGTTAGGGTTGAGGATAAGGAAGAGGAGAAGAAAGAGAAGAAGAAGGAGAAGAAAGAGAAGAAGAAGGAAGAGAAGGAGAAGAAAGAGCATAGTAAACAAGATCATATCGATAAGAAGATGATTGGTAAGACATGTAGTTTCAGTCTCATGAAGCTAGCGCACGCTCATAACCACCATCACAAGCACAAGGAGTTAACAGTAGAGGAAGAGAGCAAAGGGCAAGATAATAGTAATCATACTGATGATAGTGGTGAAGGGAACTCTCCGACTTCTGATTCGTATCTTTTCAAGGGCTCAATCTTTGACGTGGCGGAGACGCCACATGCTGCGCAGACACATCACAAGAGGAGGTCTTCGTGTACGTTTTTGGAGGAAGTAGAGACGATTAATCCAGAGGATTTGGAGAATTTGGAGGAAGGAGAGCTGAATGATAAAGGATCAGTGGCTGCAGCGAGGAAGAAGAAGGCGTTTATTCGTAGGTTTGGGGATCTTCTTGTTAGGAGGAAGAGCTTGAGTTTCTCACACAAGAAAGAGTCTTCTACTGATTCACAGGATAAGCAGCAGCAACCTCAGACGCCAACGTCACCGTCTCTGCCTCAACCACCGTTGTCTCCGGAGCCTTGAAGACTAATGTGCTTTGTTCTGTTTTGTGTGTGTCTTGATACGACATGCTTGTGTGTGTTTTGATACTTTGAGTTTGCATGAATCTTTGTTGTTTTGTCTGTACATAAAACAAACCATAACGAGTTCGTATTTGTTTGTTGTAATAAGGATTTGATCATTTTAATCTTCGCAGTGTGTTTGATCCGACGGTTGTTCCGCCTTCGTGGTAACATTCCTATGGTGCGTCAATCTATCAAAAATTTCTTTTGAATAGTTAAATAAAATATTGGGGTAACAAGGTTATATAACTAATCATTTGGTGGAACAAAAACTTCAAAATTCTAAATGTCTTACTCTCATGTAGGAAAACAACACATGACAGTACCCAAACCCTCTCGTCATCTCTATTCTGTCTTAGTAGGTGGAGACATATTATTGACCAGGGAACCCGAAACGATGATAGCTAATATCTGCACCACCGCTCCTGCAAATGACAACAAAACCCAAAATATCTATTTTATCACCACTCTGAATGTTTAAAGTTAAGTATAGTCAACTAAAGAAACCAATGAGAGGGATTGTTACCTAATTGAGCAGAAATGAACCCTAAAAGCTCAAGCTTCGCTGTTGTTCCAGAGCTATTCCGTTCCTAAAACATGTATTGAGAGACAGGTGATAGCATCAACACGAAGGCCAGTTTCCTATTTGCTGTTATTTATTACAATCACCAGTTGCTTACGACTAGGAAAACAAAATCCTTTTCTGCTAAAGACAATTGTTAAATCTGCTTCTAAATGTAAAGTATGTTGGGAGTAAGAGAAATTTACCTCCATTGTTAATCTGCTCCTAACAGCAGAAAACACAGAAAGAACCATGACAACGGTGGATGCAGCGGTGAAGAGCCTCAAAAGGTTTACTCTGCTGCGTCTGCAACCTTTTTCAACAGAAACAACAACAACAACAATAACAAAGATAAAGAAATAATTAAAAGAAAAGATGGTTAGAGTGTAAAAAAAGAGGGGGAAGAGAAGGTGTTAACCAAAATCTCCAATGAATGAAAAGAGTAAGCCAATAGCAGCAGATGCAATTCCAAGTGTGTTCCTCTCGTCATTTTTAGTAGTTGTCATGAATGCACACGACAGTCCAATTAGATAAATCGTAGCCTGCAAACAAGAACCTCAAAAAAGATTTGAGCTACACATACTTCAAAGTTGAAAGTAATAACTGTGCTTGAAAAATCAACTTCAAGAACACCAAGATTGATTTACACAACCATGAATTTAGCAAGCAGTTCAGTAACCAAAGAAATGCATTTAAAAAAAAAAACATAGAATTCGAGGACCTAAAATCTAGAATCAAAGGAAACGTACCTGAACAAGGATCAAAAGACGGAGACGAGATCTCCCTTTAGTGACCTTTGTGTAACCTAACAACACAAATATCGAGGCGCATGGTGGGATTAAAGAAGAAAAAAAAAAAAGGAATCAGAGGATTGGGTTTATGTAGTAAAACTCACGAGAGTCAACGACCATTCGGTATGAGAAATCAGATCCATCGGTGCCACTTGGCCTACCCGCCGCCGTCGTTTTCCTCTGCTGCATGTTCTCCGGTGGAAACTGACTGTCCCTGCTTTTGGCGTCGATCGGATAATATATACAGATTCTGAAAATGTATCATTAGAACACTGCTGAAATAGTTAATTAATCAAGTGCGCGCGTAAACTATATAGAAGAAATGTGGTGTGCAACCGGGAGAATTGTTTTCAAAGTGTGATCAGGTGCGATCAGTAAAGGAAGATATACTTGGAGCAGCTTAAAGGACGTAGTGGAAAAGAAGTAATTGACCTTTCACGGAAAAGATTTATAGAGCTTAAGCTTTAGGGTTACCTCTAAATATAAAGAGGAGTTAGGCATCAAATATATCTCGTATCAAGCTTAAAAACAATCTAATCGTAGCAGTAACTACACAAAGTCAATAAAAAACAAAAAAGGTTCCACTTTTAGAAAGTACCAGGAATTTTTACCCATCAGATACCCATCAGATACCCATCAGATTATAACCCATCAAGTCACTATAATCCTCACACAAACTAAACTATAATCCTATAAAAAAAAACTAGACTATTGCTAGGATTATATCTGATTATATATTAGACACTATAAGATTAATTTTTACCTGAGACTGAGAGGCGAGAGAGTGAGAGACTCGAGGTTGAGAGCTTCTTCGAGGGACTTGAGGGATTATCTCTGTGCACAATAAGAGAAATTCATCAATTAGAGATGACACAATAAACACAAACTCTGTGCACTCAACACAAACCATAAGTGAAAAACTTCACTAATAGCTAGCTCATCAAATGATCTAAGAATATAAACTTAAGAGACCCTTATCACCATCAGAAAACCCATCAAAAACAGATAAAAAAAAAGGATCAGCTCACTTGAACAACCAAGTTCATGCCAAAACCTTCTATTCATATCAAGATAACTACATAAGAATCTGATTAAACGAGAAATATGCTTCATAATCCAAACTAGGGATGTTAATTTGGGTAAATTTACCGAGCCCAGCCCAACCCACAAAAAATCCGGCCCAGTTTATATATAAAACACAAAAAACCCATAAACATCATGGTTAAATTAAAGTTCACAAATTAACCCAATAGGGTATAGGTTTACCCATGGGTAAACAAGTGACTAGATTATAAATTTTAATACCTATATATAAATATTTATATCTTTTGTATACATAACCAAATTATACATTTTATATACTAATAAAAAGATAAATTTAATAGCTATACATAAATATTAAACCACAATTATAATAAATTCATATTTGATCAATTATCTTAATAAAGATAAATTGATCTAATGTTTTCTCAACACTGAAACACATACTATGATACTAAAGTGAAAACACAATCTAATAACTCTGCTCATAGTCTCAAACTCACCAACCCCAACACTTGTTTTCTCAACACTGAAACACATACTATGATACTAAAGTGAAAACACAATCTTATAACTCTGCTCATAGTCTCAAACTCACCAACCTTAACACTTGTTTTCTCTGCCACAAGCCAACAAAAGATGATCTGCGACAAGCCAATATAGTAATCAGTTTGATAGACTTATATATGTTAAATAACTAGTGGAAGCATGTGAATGTATTTATAAATTAAACAGCAAAAGAATGGGGGAAGATGTAATCATACTGCAACAACAAGATGTGAAACTATCTGAATTTTGAGTCCTCACATCTATTCGTATATAATAATTAATAAGCAATGGCATGCGATACCTAGAGATCAGTGTAGGTTTTAATAAGCAAGTTTACACAAGTATTTGACTAGCCATATTAAACGTGACAAAATAGTAAGTAANTTAATAAGCAATGGCATGCGATACCTAGAGATCAGTGTAGGTTTTAATAAGCAAGTTTACACAAGTATTTGACTAGCCATATTAAACGTGACAAAATAGTAAGTAACATGAATAATCAATCATACAGTATTATTATAAGTTGATCTCAAACAAGATTAAAAAATGTAGAAACGAACCTCAATGTAATAGTTTTCTATGAATTTTATTCTTAAGCAAGATATTATATATATAGCTTAAATGAATTAATAAATGCCTATATGTTTTGATACCTTTGTGACAAAGCAAAATCAAGAGCTCTATCTGATCTCTCTGCTCAAGTGCTCAGCGAAAGGCCTACAAACACCATAAGAAGAAACAAACACTTAAACAAATGATATATCTTTCTTTAATCTATTTCACCATAAAGCAATAAAGGATATATCTCCCCTACTTTGCAACATCAATATACATTAAAAAAAAACTAGCAGTAACAAACAATATTAAGTAAAAAAAGATTTAAGTAAATTCATCAAGCAATTAATGACAATAATGTAGATGCTAATGTGCTCATCGAAATCTACCTCAAGAAGAGAAGGACCAAGAAGCCCAAACTGCCTTCTACTGCAAGGGAAAAACGTATATCTGCAAGAGACCAATACAGTAAGTAATCAATACGGTCACATGACATTTTTGAAGTTAAACTAAAAACAATATCACAGCAATACGGTCACATCATCACATGACGATACCTTTCAACTTATCATTTGTACATTTTTTAAGTTAAACTAAAAGACTCATAATAAAAGCAAACAAATACATCTCTGCTCGTAATCGACATCCCCAGTTATGAGCTCGTAATAAACAAATAAGAAGCTTGAGTTTGAGAGGAAACCTGATGATGGGTTTGCTGCAGAGATCCGTTCTCAAAACCCTGAGACAAGCAGAAATCGAGAGAGAGAGAGAGATTGAGAGATCGAGAGAAAGAGAGAGAGAGATATCGAGAGAGATTGAGAGAGATTGAGAGATCGAGAGATTGAGAGATCGAGAGAAAGAGAGAGAGACGGCGAAGGAGATTGAGGCAGAGAGAGATCGAGAACCGCGAGAGAGAGATTGAGCTGAGACTTGAGATCGAGAACCGCGTTTGTTTTTTTTTTTTAGGTTTGTGGGTACCCATTTACTCTATTGGGCTACCCATATAATATAAATTTTTTTAATTATGTAAAGGTAAAAACCCATGTTAAATCCATTTATTTATTGTAAAGGTAAAAACACAATCCAATATTCGTGGGCTTGGGTATCCTCATGGGTAATTACCCAAGTTAACATCCCTAATCCAAACTCTAATCTCAGTATTTCAGAAACAAACTCATCCAAATCAAAAACCCATCAAATCGAAAACCCAAGGGTTCGATCTTTGACGTGGCGGAGACGCCACATGCTGCGCAGACACATCACAAGAGGAGGTCTTCGTGTACTTTTTTGGAGGAAGTGGAGACGATTAATCCAGAGGATTTGGAGAATTTGGAGGAAGGAGAGTTGAATGATAAAGGATCAGTGGCTGCAGCGAGGAAGAAGAAGGCGTTTATTCGTAGGTTTGGGGATCTTCTTGTTAGGAGGAAGAGCTTGAGTTTCTCACACAAGAAAGAGTCTTCTACTGATTCACAGGATAAGCAGCAGCAACCTCAGACGCCAACGTCACCGTCTCTGCCTCAACCGCCGTTGTCTCCGGAGCCTTGAAGACCAATGTTCTTTGTTCTGTTTTGATACGACATTCTTGTGTGTTTTGTTACTTTGTGTTTGCATGAATCTTTGTTTTTTTTTGTCTGTACATAAACAAACCATAACGAGTTCGTATTTGTTTGTTGTAAGGATTTGATCATTTTAATCCTCACAGTGTGTTTGTCTTTCCATTTAACGTTTAAATCTCGCGCTTTACAAAAAGGCAGAAGCTTATGAAATTTTAACCAAGACATTGTGATCAATCTGCTCTATGGCGGCTGATTAGGCCACAAACTCAAAACCATGTGTTTAAAGTGTCATAGCTGCAAGCAACTTGCAATAGAGTGATTCCTATACATAAGAAGAGAGTTTCACTTTATTCAAATGTAGAAAGTGAGAATTACTTTGCTTTGTTATAATCAAGTTGAAAAACAACCTTTACTTTCTTAATTGTCAGCATCACTTTTCTAAATTTTTAGTGCGAAATCTTTTGGTGGCATTGCACTTTTAGTGTTTGCTTCATGCTCTGTGTATTTGGCCACTTACCCACTTGCTTTGGGTGTAGCTAGTGGTTCTGCTATTCGCTTTATCAAATGAAAGATACAGCTAAATAAAATTACAATACATTTTCTTATGTATTATGGTATTAGTAGAATAGGATTGAAAAAATAATAATAACATATGAAGGAAATGATGGGGTATAGAATAACATGATGATGTCTATATTTCTTGTTCATATCACAAGAGATCAATGTGAGGATATGCTGAGCTGTTCCGGGCGAGAGGGTAGCTTTAAACGGATTTGCTATTTTCGATTATTTTAAAATTATGCTTAGTTTGAGAAATGTAAGACGCTTAAGCAAGAAATGATTATTCTCAGAACAACATACGTACTGGAGATAGTTTATTGGAGAGAAAATCACCAAGAGATTTAGGGTTTACCATTCTTTTAATAATCACTTAAAATATGATGTTAGAATACTTATTAGATTTGATCCAAAAGAAAAAGAATACTTATTAGCTATCACGATGATGTGTTGCTATTCAAATGGGTGGGCATTCAGAATGTAACTACAATCAACGCACGTTAGTATAATTCAGCCGTTGACCTGTTAAAACCGGCTTAGTATCAATTTAGATAAGTTCATTTATTTATTGACTTATAATAGTATCTATGTGAGTTTGTTGATGTTTTATTGGCTTGCGGGAAAGGATTACGAATCTAAAATGTATGCCATCATTGTCACAGCTAAGAAAAAATGGTGTTTATGTATTTGAAAATATATATAACAAGTAAGTTTGGCAGAATATTTCTTTTAAAAGCGAGAAAATATACTAAAAATAGAACGCAATCACTCGATTAGGTGTCAACTTTCCAGCCCCGACATGATGATTAATGATAGCATAAGATGATATTTAAATGTTTCTAATAATTAATTTTCATAAAACCGAGAAGTAGCTGATGGCCTAATGGTTTCAACTCACTTTCTCACACATGACTACCCGAGGTCACAGGTTCGATACTCGGGGACAGCGGGGTGGTACTGTGCCTTTCAAAAATCCTGTGCTCGCAGATGGCCTGGGCCTAAGGCCTAGAGGTTTCTCGAGCACGCCTTGAGGATTTCTGTACGGGTGCCCTTCGGGGTGGAGCCAGTCACTATAAAAAGTTTAACCCTTCACAGTTTAACCGGGCCTCGTGGTCTAATGGTAAAGGAACCTCGGCTGAGGTGCCCGCCATCACGAGTTCGAGCCCCGGCCACAGCGGATTTAACATGGTTTCCGTTTGGCCTTCAGGACCTCTTCGGGGATAGTCGGGTCTCTAAATAAGCTCCGGACACCTGAGTTATCAAAAAAAAAAAAAAAAAAAAAAATTTTCATAAAACNTTTGGCCTTCAGGACCTCTTCGGGGATAGTCGGGTCTCTAAATAAGCTCCGGACACCTGAGTTATCAAAAAAAAAAAAAAAAAAAAAAATTTTCATAAAACCGCGTATTCGTTGTTGACAAATAAAAAGTGTATTCGTTTTTCGCATCAAGAACGTACGAACAAATAAATAGCGATGAAAAGACACCTGAACTGAACGGCTCACGACTCGCGAGTCACCACCTTGTCCCTGTCTCTCTGTTACTTATGTTCTTTAAGAGAAGCCACGTTTTGACCAAAAAAAAAAAAAAAGAGAAGCCACGTGTTGAATGGGCCTACTTGGACAAAATTTGACGGCCCAAAACTTACAGGGGCCTATAACGAGAAAAGCATGTCCGCGTTGGAGCTGACTGTATGTATCGGTTCTTTACGAGTTGACGAGAGTGTATATAAATATGCTATATTCAACTGAACCAAAACAAAAGCCGTATTGTCTTGCAACTTCACTTTAATAACCTCAAAGGAAAAAACAAAGAGAGGTACCAAAAGGAGACCTTATTCTTTGCTCCGATCATCGATGGAGAGATACGACATCTTAAGAGATCTTGGCTCCGGTAACTTTGGAGTTGCAAAGCTTGTGAGAGAGAAAACCAACGGAAAGTTTTACGCTATTAAATACATCGAAAGAGGCCTTAAGGTACTTTTTTCCTTTCCCTAAAATACTTGTGTTTCTTTGTTTTGGTTATACAAGTTTGATATGAAGGTGGTCTCTGTCTTTTAGTTCTGTTTCTAGGATCAGTAAATGAATCTAAGGGTTGCTTTTGTACAGATTGATGAACATGTACAGAGAGAGATCATAAACCACAGAGACTTGAAACATCCCAATATCATCAGATTCAAAGAGGTATCTTCATGAACCATAACCATAATCGAGTCTATAGCTTTGTCATGGTCTATTATACAGCGTGCGTTGTTGAGAAAACTCATAAACCAGAAACAAAAAAAATTTGTGCCGAATATGTTGATAATAATAGACTTAATAGTATTTAAGATATGTTGGTCGGTTTATTTAGTGTTCTAGAGTATGGTTAGGAACATAATTTGGATTACAATCCAGCGTTAAAATATAATCATGTAAATTATGTGTATCATTTCCATATGGTTGGACTTTGGACTTCTTCTCCTTTGAAAAATTTGTATTAAATTGCTTTTAATAAATAATATGTCTCATTCTCCGACGGTCCAGCATTCGAGTTTCATATGCCAGCGTATGTATAATTAGTCATGGCGTTGAAAATACTTATATTAAAAATTCAAGATTATATAATAACAGAAGCTAGGTTGTACGCCTTCGAAGCTTGAGGAAAATGAAAAAATATAACAAAATAAATGTGTATGTATGTGATGTATTTTTTTGGATCTATTTTGAAGGTTTTTGTAACACCAACACATCTTGCCATAGTAATGGAATATGCAGCAGGTGGTGAACTTTTTGAAAGAATTTGCAGTGCCGGCAGATTCAGCGAAGACGAAGTAGTATTACTTAATTCATCATTTATAATTCAACAGTAATCTCGTGGCTAATTATATTGTTTAAAATTTGTTTATTGTTTAGGCAAGGTACTATTTCAAACAACTTATCTCGGGCGTTAGCTATTGTCACGCTATGGTACGTGTTATATATTCCTGTATAAATGTTATAAAAATAAAAATTCATGCAATATAATACAATTGAAGTTTTATGAAATATTATTTTTATTGAAGCAAATATGTCACAGAGACCTTAAGCTCGAGAACACACTCTTAGATGGGAGCCCTTCGTCGCAACTCAAAATATGCGACTTCGGATATTCGAAGGTATATATTATTCCACATTTAGCTCATCTTCGTTGATCATAACATATCAAAATGTATTACTGTCAACAATTTTTGTTACAAAACCATGCAGTCATCGGTTTTACACTCTCAACCAAAATCCACCGTGGGAACTCCGGCTTACGTTGCCCCGGAGGTCCTGTCCCGAAAAGAATATAACGGGAAGGTTCGTAACTAATAACTAATACTTGAATAAATTAATAACATCAACTTTTTTTTGGTCTCTAATAACATCAACTTGTCTATATAAAAAAATCATTTAATCCATATAAAATATTTCTTTAAATATGTAGATTGCAGATGTATGGTCGTGTGGGGTAACTCTATATGTAATGTTAGTTGGTGCTTATCCCTTTGAAGATCCAGACGATCCAAGAAACATTAGAAAAACCATTCAGGTACTTCTAAAATTATAATTATATAATCAAACGTTCATCCCACTAGTTAACTTTATAAGATATTGTTTTATATAAACTTAAGAATAATATATAACTAATACGAAAAAATAATATATACTTTACAGAGGATATTAAGTGTACATTACACCATACCGGATTACGTCAGGATTTCCTCGGAATGCAAGCATCTCTTATCCCGTATCTTCGTGGCTGACCCTGATAAGGTATAATGAATGAAAACCTAAACCAGTAATGTAAGAAATACCGGTTAAGACTTTCAATTTGGTTTAACAATTGTCACTGTTTACATATAAATAAACCAAACCAAATATGGGTAACTAAATGAGAATGAATGCTAATACCGGGTTTTTAATTTGAATACACGATAGAGAATAACTGTACCGGAAATTGAAGAACACTCTTGGTTCGTGAAGAATCCACAGCCGGTTATCTCAAATAAGGACATAGTGGAAGAAGAAGAAGAGGAGGAAAAAGAAGAAGAGACGTGTAGACAGAGTGTTGAAGAAATAGTGAAGATAATAGAAGAAGCAAGAAAAGATGTGAATGGTAGGAAGGATGATGGTGGATTAGGACTAATAGATGGAAGCATGATTGATCTTGATGATATTGATGATGAGGTCGATGATGATGATGATGATGAGGAGAAAAACGGTGATTTTGTATGTGCCCTATGATTTTCATATCCATCTTGCATGTTGTGTATGTGTTCATACGTGTATTTTTGTGTGTGTGTTGCCTGAGAATATCCGATGATTTCGTGTTGCATATAGTATATTTGTATGACTAATATAAGTGGAAAATAATTAACCACTAATCAAAGTCAAATAAAGTTATTAAATCATGTATATTTTATTTACATTATTTGTTAAAATGCACAGAAGCCAAAATACATGCGCTCTCTTTCTCTTGGCTTTCATTTTTCTCAGGCCCTGCCCACCACCAAAACAAGCAATCCTCAAAGAGAAATCATTAAGTATAATACAAATATAAGTAAAAGAGTTGTGAAACATAGGGATAAACAAAAATAAAGAAGGAAACCATAAACAAATGCAAGTCACTAATAAGATAAAACAAGAAAAAGTTTGCTGCATAAAAGAATCCCCAGAGTCTTGTTTGTCAAGTTCTTCGCTCTTACACATAAAAAAGAAAAAAGAAAAAAAGACATCTAATTATAAAAAAGCAATAGTATCATTGTGTTGGGGCAAGAAAGAGGCGCAACAAATGCCAGTGAGTCCATCACGGCTCCAGAACTCTTCAGTATCAGCGACTCCGTGGATCCTGACTCTTGTGGTGTTTTTGGTGACAGGGTTGAAGTAGAAAACATAGAAGGGGTGGGCACGGTGTTGCAGAGAAGTTGGGGAGAAAATGATTTCACCAGCCTTGTTGGTTCCTTGGGAAATCATACACTGACCCATCCCACGATGGAAGGGAAGAGACAAGGAAAGCTCAAATGTTTGTTTGGACCACTCATGTTTGGTCACATCCTCCAGTATCCAAAGATTAAAGTGGCCGAAAGAATAACAAGCATCCCCGGACAAAGAGTGGTACAACGACAGCTAGCTTCCCTTTGTATTCGATCAATGATGCGGCGCGAAGCGAAACCAGGAGCTCCTTGGGGGCTGTGATAAAACTTAGTATCCGCTCATATCTAACATCAAAGCACACAAACACAGGAGGAGCAGCTACTGTTTGAGTTGGAACAGAAGCACCATAATACATGAAACCATTGATGCAGCGTACACCATCCACTTTTTACTTTTATATATACTATAGGGTTTGTGGGTTAGTAATTAAAACAATTATACAATATATATTATCACTTTTATTGCATATTTTAAAATAATTAGTTTACTCTAAATTGTAAGTAATCTCTATTTTCAATATATAAGATTTGATGTTTTTTATTACAGGAAAAAAACTTAGAATTATAATACAAAAGATTACAATTATACATATATTTAAAATTCTACAAATAATAATATATTTTATATGTTATCTATTTTGAGATATCTTAATGTTATATATTATGGCATTTTTAGGGTAATAATAACTTTTGAAATAATGCTTGTTATATTTTTAGCATGCTTTTTCCAGCATATCTTTTAAATTTTTTTGGTTGAAAAATTTAAAATATTGATAAATACCCACATAATATTATTATTTTTCACTTTTTAAGCAGTTTGTCGAGTGGAATGATAAATCTGATCACCTCTTATCAAACCACTTCGTTAAACACTTTTATCTTAGTTGGTCACATCCGCCACAAACAAATAAAACTTACCTTTTAGCTTATGATTGTTTTCTATTTTGTTATATATATATATTATAGTTTTTTCTGTATGTTTATTAATTATTCTCTTTCTACACTTAATTTTCATTGCATATGATATACTTTTTAATTGTTTTCCTCGAAAGATAGAATATACTATTCTTGAAAATTTTGTTATGTTAATTCATGCTATGTTTATTTTTACATCCCTATATATTATGAAAAATATTTGAAAAATTGTAACCTTAAATTTGTATTAATTAAAAAATAACTTCATCCTACGTAACACCTTTCTATGTTTTTTTATTTCACTTTAGAAGGATTTTAGAGCGTCTTATATAAAACATAGTTTAAAACAAAGTCTATTAGTCTTATATAAGACATATTAAACTAAATAATATATAAAACTAATTTTTTATATATTGTTTCCTTAAATAAAACCTACGGAATTATCTAATGTGATTAAGATATATATATGACTGTTAATGATTCTAAGTAATAAAAATTTGTTAACAATCTGTATACTTTATATCATTTTTGTTTATTGTTTTTTATTATTAAAATAAATTACACAACTACAGTAATCATATAACAAAAATTTAGATTTTTTATATATGTTGTATTTTGAAATTTTGAAAATGAGGATAAATTACTAAAACTGTTAAAAATCTCACATAAAAAATTTGTGATCAAATTCTAATTTTTTTTCTATAGTAAATTACAATGATTATAAAATCATATGAATAAATAATTTTATTTTAATAGGTGTTTATGTTAATATATATATATATATGTATGTATCTCATATCGTATGTATAAATAATTTTATTGTTAACATAATTATAATTTAAAATTAACTTAATTTTTTATAAATTATTATTTAAAAAAAAAAAAAAATCATGCTATGTTTATTTACATTATTGTTTGGTAAAAGTGAATCAAATACAAAACCATGTGCGCGCGTTAACCATTAGACTGTTTAAAAAAATAAAAAAGGGAACCATTCTATTAAACCCTAAACCCATCCCCTGAGGACGCCGCCGGCTAAAACAGAAACTCGGCGGCGGAGGAGTCAAAAACGAACGATGGGAGGAAGAGGAAGACGACACAGAGGAGGTCGTTCTCATAGGAACCAATCAGAAGACGTCAGCAGAGAAAACGTTCCGAAACCCCTCAAATCCTTCGATTCCAGCATCCAAAATCGAACCTGGTCGAATCTTGATTTGGAGGAGTATTACAAGGTACAAGAATCAATCAGAGGGATGTCTGGTTTCTAATCAAACAACATCATTACATGAATGAATCAGTTGTATTGTATTGTATTGTTATTCAGGAGCAAAAGATAGTGAAAGCAGAGGAGTGGGATTCATTCATTGACATTCTCCGAAAGCCATTGCCTGCTGCTTTCAGAGTTAACTCCAAGTAACCCAAATTCATTTCCTTTTTTTTTTTAATACTTCAAAAGGTTTTTAATTTTTAATTTTGAATCTGACATTTTTTGCTCCTCCTTCTTAGTGGCCAGTTTTGCCATGAGATTCTATCGATATTGGAGAATGACTTCGTTAAATCTCTTCAGGCTGAGGTAATTAATCTATTAAACACTCTTAGTGTCAAAAAAAGGAAGCTGTCTTTGTCAACTCAAATGGTGTCTTAAATTTAGGCTGTAGAGAGTGGTGAATTGGAGGCTATCAAGCCCTTGCCTTGGTACCCTAACAATCTTGCTTGGCATTCTAATTTTTCTCGCAAGGAGATTCGAAAAAACCACACTCTTGAAAGGTGCTTTCTCTCTCTCTCTTTTTTTTAATTCATCATATTGCTTCAAAAACAAATCTTCATTTCCATTGCTTACTTTATGGTTCAGGTTTCACGAGTTCTTAAAGTTAGAAACTGAAGTTGGGAACATGACCAGGCAAGAAGCAGTTAGCATGGTAAGCTCATTTATGATACCACTAGTGTAACATAACACTCTTTTTAATCGCATCTCATTGATTTTTGTTATTACGCAGGTACCTCCTCTCTTCCTTGATGTACATCCAGATCATTTTGTCCTTGACAGTGAGTGATTTTTTTTTTGTTAATTAGACATTGTTTTAAATGGATATTGACCTTGAGGATTAAGGCTTGAATGTTTCACTTGTCTGAACAGTGTGTGCTGCACCTGGTTCCAAGACATTTCAGCTACTTGAGATAATTCATGAATCAGCACAACCAGGATCCCTACCTAATGGAATGGTTTGTAAATTAATACTAATTTTTTTGGTTGGTTGGTTGATGGATAACTTTCTTACTGTTTCCTAATTGTTTCGGTTGAATCAGGTGGTGGCGAATGATGTTGATTATAAAAGATCTAACCTTCTTATTCACCAAACTAAAAGAACGTGTACGACCAACTTGATAGTCACTAACAATGAAGGTCAACATTTCCCAAACTGCAACTCGAAGAGTGCCTTGTCCATCATAGCATCTGACAAGTACCATGGTCCCATTGATCAGCTTCTCTTTGATCGTGTCTTATGCGATGTACCGTGTAGTGGTGATGGTACTCTGCGCAAGGCTCCAGACATATGGCGAAGATGGTTTGCCAAATCCATAAGCTTCCAATTTCACATTTTTGTTCCACTTGCTTCGAGATTCTTACTGTCATTTTTTTTCTGACAGGAATTCTGGATCGGGAAATGGACTTCATAGTCTACAAGTAGTGATTGCCATGAGAGGTAAGCTTTTATTTCACAGATGATCTGACTCGCAGAATCTTATGTTTTGACTTATATCTACTCTTTTTTGGTTTCAGGTTTGTCACTGCTAAAAGTTGGTGGGAGAATGGTATACTCAACCTGCTCAATGAACCCAATTGAGAATGAAGCTGTTGTTGCTGAAGTAATTTATCACTTTCTTTCTTCTTTCTCCCATAAGCCTGTTCTTTTGGATGCTGATTGATGATATTGTAAGTATTATTCAGATTATGAGGAGATGCGGTTGCTCCGTTGAGCTTGTAGATGTCTCAGATAAGCTTCCTGAACTTATCCGAAGACCTGGTATTAAGAAGTGGAAGGTAAACGAAATGTACATGTGTACTTTTCAGTAAGACAGACAGACAGTGATTAGAAGCAACATAAGTGTTTACTCATCCTTGTATATATCTGTGGATTCAGGTGCATGATAGAGGTGTCTGGTATAGATCTTACAAAGGCGTTCCAAAACTGCAGAGGGACAGTGTTCTAAGAAGCATGTTTCCTTCTGGTAAAAGTGATAAAGACTCAACAACAGGTGCCGGAAGCAACTCTGGGGAAATGGCTTCTATCCGTTGTGATGAATCAGCTGAGGAAGAAGTCTGTGATCTTCCTCTTGAACGCTGTGCGAGGATAGTACCTCATGATCAGAACACTGGGGGATTCTTCATTGCAGTGCTTCACAAAGTTTCACCTTTACCAGGTGAGTTTAAGATAGTTTCGAGTGCATACCTTCCCTAATTTAATTGATTCTTTAATAGAATTCGAAAGATCATTAACTTTCTTGCAGATTTTCAGGAGAAACTATATCAGAGAAGGAATGCCAGAGGCAGAAACTCTGATACTGTGGTTGCACAACCTGAAGAGAATACAAAGGAAATAGTTGTAGAAGAAGCAGCTTCAGATAATGGTTTGAAGCTTGAGAAGGAACCAACCAACAAAGAAGGCACTGTAGAATTGGCTAAAGAAGTACCACCAGTGCATGGGAAGTGGAAAGGCCTTGACCCTGTTATTTTCTTGAGAGATGAAACAGTGATCAACGGGATCAAGAGTTTTTACGGCATCAGGGATGAGTCTTTTCCTCTCAACGGCCATCTCGTGACTAGAAACAGCGACACGAGCAGCAAAGGCAATGTGAAGAGGATATACTATGTTTCACGATCGGTGAAGGATGTTCTTGAGCTTAACCTTGCGGTTGGGCAGAAGATTAAGGTCGCATCTGTTGGCCTCAAGATGTTTGTAAGCACCACATTTTATTTTATATTGCTCTTGGTCAAATACCAAATCTCAGAAGTATGGGATTTGTTCAGATTTTTAACTGATAAAAAAACGCAGGAGAAACAATCAGCAAGAGAATGTGAAGCTGGCTCATGCTCATTCCGCATAACGTCAGAGGGGTTGCCTGTGATCCTTCCCTACATGACCAAGCAAATACTTCATGCAACAATGGTGGATTTCAAGAACCTCCTGCAACACAAATCGATCAAGTTCCCTGAGTTCGTGCATCCAGAGTTTGGCCAGAAAGCAGCAGAAGTAGCTGAGGGATATTGCGTTGTTATTCTTGTTGATGGTGTGTGTTTCATCGATGACAAGAAAGATACTTTTTGTTTTCCTGGTCATGTTGGATAACGATATCTTTGGTTCCTACAGGTACTCAGAAGCTAGGGTCTGAAACAGTCAAAGTGAATTCATCAACAATAGCCATTGGATGCTGGAAGGGCAAAGCCAGCTTAACCGTTATGGTCACGACCGTGGACTGCGACCAACTTATTCAGAGACTTCGTTGCTGATGGAACGTTAAAAAAACAGAAAGAAAAGTTGGGAGTAGTAATATGGAGACAGCTTAAAGCTTTTACACCATCATTAAGATAAACTCAAGCCTGTTAGATTTTTCTATTCCAATCAAAGACTATTTGTTCCAATGTTCTTTCTATCATTCTAATTAAAGACTTCTGTTTTGTTACATCATGAAGATAATATGTGAATTAGACGGGGATAGACAAAGCGATACAAAAAAAAAAGAGACAAAAGCGATTTCTATCAAAGCATTATGTCCTAACATTGGTGGATGGTTTCGCTGTGTTGACTATCAAGTGTAAGCACTGATCCATAGAGTTGCTTATGTAAAGGAAAGCAATGGAGACAGCTTGAAGCTGAACACTGACATAAACTGAAGAAGGTTTTGTTACACATTTCAATCAAAAGCTATTTGTTCCAACACTCTTTCTCTATCGGTGTCTAATCGCACCCATTGTTTAATGAACCAAGCAACACAAGCCAGATTCCAAAAGAATATACAATAAAAGTAAGCAGTCTCTCTATCACCATAATCCAAGGGTTTTGGGGAAATGAATTTTTTTGCTTTGTAACGAACACACAGATCAAGAAGAGCTACAACACGTACTGGTCTTAGCGGTAACCTCCTGTCCAGGACCTGGGATGACAATCTTCTTACCAGCCAACGAACCATGGTTATTATTCAACCCACCTTGATTCCCCGCAGACGAGAGACTCTTCTTGTTAACCGTGTTGAAGATCTCTGTCATCAGAGTGTTGAAGGAGTTCTCCACATTGGTAGCATTCAATGCAGACGTCTCGAGGAAGAAGAGACCTTCCTTCTCAGCAAACTCTTTAGCGTCTTCAGTGGGAATAGCTCTCTGATCTTCAAGATCAGACTTGTTACCAATGAGGATGATCACAATGTTCTTATCAGCATGTGCTCTCAGCTCCTCAAGCCAACGAGGGATGTGGTCAAAGGTCTCACGTTTGGTTATATCGTAAACAAGCATCGCACCAACTGCTCCTCTGTAGTATGCGCTCGTAACCGCTCTGTATCTGTTTTCAAAATCAACCAATTAAAATCAAAAGCAATGCTAAGGAGTGATCTAATCTACACAGAGGCAGCTCTAGTCAAACCTAAGTCAGCTTTCCAGATCCAGCGATGAATCAATTCTCAAGGTTCGAAATCTAAGTAAAGCTGTGTGTACGTACCTTTCTTGACCTGCGGTATCCCAGATCTGAGCCTTGACGCTCTTCTCTTCAATGAGGAGAGTGCGAGTTTGAAACTCGACGCCGATGGTGGCTTTGGAGTCTAAGCTGAACTCGTCTCTTGCGAATCGAGCGAGTAGCTGTGATTTCCCAACAGCTGAATCGCCGATCAGAACTACTTTGAACACGTAATCCACTTTTCCAGATGCGCCGCCGTAACCGCCTCCTCCGGCCATTTTCTTCGTCGGTAGGCGGCGAATTATTTTCAAAGTTTTCTCTCTCTCTCTCTCTAGCTGTTAAAACTTAAAACTAGTGGGTGGTTGATTGATTTTGAGTTTTAATTGTTCTCTGCTGTGATCTACTGTGCGAGAGTCTTCGGTGAGTGAGAGTTAAAAGAGGTAGGATTATGACACGTGGAAAGAGTTGTGGCACGTGCTCGAAATCGAGAAACAAAGGTGAAGGATGTAAGCTGTGAGGAGCAGTGGAACAGAGTGAAGAGCTATACAGGAGATGGGATTTGGATTAAGTGAGCGGGCACACGATAATTATTGATTAGCGGAGGTGGGTCCCCTTATGCGTCGGCTCCGGATTATTTTTTCTTAAAATATGATGTTATACTCCATTTTAATAGTGATTTTTAGAGCATCCGCAATAAGGAATCCCTAGGGGGAATCCTTAGGAAAAAAGAAAAAGGAGTATTTCAGATTATATAAGGATATTTCGAATTATTTCTTTAAAATAAAAAAATCTGACCAATCGTGGACCGACACGTGGCAGTGGAGCCCATGAATAGTGTAAGGATCCATCCGAAATAATCCTTACATAAGGATTTTATTCTTAAAATCCTTAACTGTTCATGAGACCCATTGATTATAAAATTAATATTTCCTTAAGGATTTTCCCTAAGGACCCCCTGTTGTGGGTGGTCTTAAGACTTCTAAGTTATTAGTCATGGCTAAATAAAAAAATTACAATTAATGTAAAATATATAAGGAAAAAAATTTACTTTAATGGTAATATGCGTTACTATATGGGATTAGCAATAATATTTTTTTGAGAAATAAAAAAAAAATTGGTTTGAACCAAAAAAAAAAGAAATAAAACAAAAACAAATGAAAAAAAAAACAAATCAGTGATTATCATCATAGTTTAATGATGATCTTATTCACTTGGTTCCTCTTTGCTTTTGAAGTTTTGGATTCCTGCAAATTCGTTGTTGATATGCACTACACTTGGAACATAAGGGGAAGAGCACACAAGTGGGCAATATTCTCCCACGGTATGAACGGACCATTGGCGTTTCTCAGCTTCTCCGAGTCTTACTTTTTCAAAGTATTCATTCTCCCCAATGAGGTAAGCCGTGTCATACCAGTTCGTTTCAGATTCGTCTACTTGGAAAACTACAGCGACTTTTTTCTCCTCATCAATGAAGAAACTGGCACCTACAAAGTCAAACTGGAATCCAAAACCTGTGAATGGTTCCAAGTATAGATTTAAAAAGGGAACCCAGGACACTGCTGCATAGGGCTCAATCTTACTCGTGGTCACCCAAATCTCAACGTTCGGCATACTTGTGGACTGATATAAGGCTGCCAGTTTCTCGTCTCTAAGAGAAGCGAGTGTCCCAGTATCATCAATATAGTGCTCAAACGGAAGAGGCAAAGGCGGTCCAAATCTCTCTTTTGTAAAATCAAAAGAGAGTAAGATAGCATGGGGCTCATCTATTTCTGCCGGTCCATCTTTGAATAGAATTTTCGTTTTAGCTAAAAAATAAGTATTTCCCTTCAAAGACACACCACGATGGTAAAACATTATGTCCCATTCCTGAGTGATATCAAGAACTCTCCATAAACCAGAACTAATATCGTAGATTTCGTACGAACAAACATTGTAAGAAAAGCCATTATCAAAGAACCTCAAGATTTTGTGTTTACGATCATTGCTGCTGCTGTCGTATCCGAGTGCATAAAGGTCTAACCTGCTGTAGTAATTTCTGGCTTGAATCCATCTGGTTTGTCCTAAATATGGGTTCCAGACCACGAGAGTAGTTTTGTTCTCCTCTTTGTCCTTGGTAACACATAAGGATAAGCCATCGCAGTGAAATATTTGGGTTACCTTGACGTCGTGATTAAGTGAATCAACGGAGGTGATCTCCTTTATAGATGGATGCACGAATTCTTCTCCGTCGAGGATGCCATGGAGATCGAACCTCATTGAACAAAGCTTAAATTTGTTCACCATGAAGCGTAGAAACTGATGCTTCTTTGCTTCTGCTTTACAAAAAACCCGATCTTTGGATAGACGGTTCCATTGTTTGCAAGTGGATCTCACCACTCCTAGATCCATTATGGGAACCCTAGAGAGTATATTCTCTACCAAATCCCACGATAGGTCGGAGATAATAGTCATCGTTTTGTGTTGCTTTACACAGAAATTAGAAATGTTCTCTAACTTCCCCAACAACTTATATATAAGTTGGTTACAAATAAATATATAAAATAATTATTTTCTAGGGGCGGTTTCTAAATTTTAGGGTTATTTTATTTATTAGTTAAGCAATACAAATAAATATATAAAATAATTAAGAAATACAAATTTTCGATTATTTATTAGTTAATAAATTTTCATATAGTGAAAACAATATAATAACTGACAGATTTATATACTTTTGTTGTTCTAATATATTTCTACCTAATCCACTATGGCCCTGATACAAATTATTTCTAACTCCGTCACTGGTGGTGGATCCCCAAATTCGTCGGCACCAGAATGGTAGCATTATTAATATCTGTATTCTAACAATGATAGAAATGCAAGTATATGACATTGGTTAAAAGGCGTTCCATAAACAATTTATATAGACAAAATAAGCAAAGACCGGCCTCAACTCTTGGTCTAACGACTAACAAATACTTCAATCCAATATCTGTTAAAGCAAGATGCCCAGAGATGGCAGAAAAGTTATATGGCACCAACGAAGGTATTTGAGGAAACAAAAACAAGATAGCCATGCAAACAAAGAGACCACAAGATCTAATAGCCACATAATACATTGTTGTAAGATTAAATAAAGTTCAATTCTATACATTTGATTTTTTCATTCATCTATCAGCTTTGCATATTCAACAGAACAGCTCATTTTAGTTCTTTTTGTTTTCTCCTCTTAGGATTATGTGATTCTTTATTTTATGCAATCGTATGAGCTTATTTTCACCCTTTCTAACTGTTACAAAATTATTATGTCTTTGTGGTATTTTTCTTTTTTTTTCTATTTGTTACAAGAAAACAATATACATAGCTTGATTATCTTTTTGTGGTATTTTTCTTTTTGGGGGTATTTTTCTTCTTTCAAAACAACCTGCCAAATCTATTTTTTTGCAAGTTAGTTTCATTAAAACGAATAATAACAAGTAAAAACTTGAATAGAAAACTACCTTTTGATTTTTCTGTAGATTCTCTACATGTAGAGCTCGTTGATAAAACCGGTTAATTCACCCATTATTACTACTTAACCACCATGTCTAATTTCACACATTGCAATCAAACCATGTGATCCCACAATTTGATATAATCTGTAAAAACATATAAAATATGTTACACTACCAACCAACATATATAACATATATTCATTCGTTATGATCACCAAGCAATAGTTAACTACTAAGTGCTTAAAGTAATAATATTATCTATCACCAAATGTCAGGGTACTTTTTCAAGACCATGAATTGGTAATGTTGTGCACAAAATTTGAATCTTGGTGAAAGAAATATTGTATACAATGTTTTTAGTCTTAGTGCAGGCTGGTTTTAGTTTTGTAACCTTTCAAAGTTTGTCAACACCGATTACCATGCAGTGAACCACAACCAAATAAATAAATCTATTCAAAAGAGATTATAAATTAGTTTTTAATACAACAAAGCAATAAAAAATTAAAAAATGAGATTTTGATACCTCTGGAAGTTACGGTGGATATGTTTAACATTTATGCAAAAAATAGGAACTCACGGTGATTGTTCATGGGTCCTTGGAGGTTGTACCGTCCATGAGAAGGTACGGGTACATCGTGAAACGGTGATGGCTGTGGGTGCACATTGTTGTGCCTAGAAAATAACACTTTTTTTGCATGTGATTCCTAGGTTTTAGGCATATATCACTTTGTTTATCATTTTATTATTTGTGTCGAGCCTTGAGATACATATAATATTTGATTATTGATCAACAATCACTTTTTTCACAAAGATTGTTGGTGAAGTCATAGTCAATTCCACAGTGGGTTGGTTAAATGATGTGGAAATTGAGACTATCTTACTTGCGGCTGAAGCAAACTTGATCCATGTATCAACAGAGGTTGCACCAAATGGGACGTTGTGTCTCTTTGTATACAGATGTGTGGCTTACAATGATCACATGTACTTTTCTCTCTTCCTTTTGCATGTTCTCATAAGTTTTGAGAATTTATATATATTTCATAATAATAAAAAAAAAAGTTGATCAAAGAAACAAAAAAACTTAAGAATCAAACGATAGTTTAACTTTTTATCAATTCATAAACTTTAAACTAACCAAATAGAAATGAACCTAGTAGAGGATGAAAGAACAGTAAGAAAACTAATAAAAAGGTTAGTCGTTTCCATCATTATAAAATCCTCAGAATTTCTTCACATTTGGGCATAACAAATGAAACTATAAATTAACCCTCTCTAATATACAATTCTAGAAAGATTGTGTATAATATGAGGAACAGAATTGTTTTGTACAAGTAATTGCATAAGTTTTATGTTCATATAGATTCATAAAGTTGAAATTTTCTTAACAATAAATCTTAAAATATTTCAGAATTTTTTTATTATAAAATTATTAACATGTATTTTAAACATAATAATTTTTCTTTTAGTTTAGTTTTTCAAACCCATATTAACTTTTTTTGTCACTTAACAAAAAAAACTATTGTTTAATGATCTGCTTGTATAACAAACTATTGTTTTATGATCTGTTTGTATACAGAGAGTATACACATGTGGGCCCAGCTTCGTTGATTCTCCGACGACCACTCGCCCACGGTGAGTCATCTGTTATTATAGGCGAGGCTATAGAGATCGACAACAATAGGTACCGGAAACGTATTCACCGTCGTTGTGAAAGTTATTAAAATTTCTTCTTTTTTCTAATGCTTTATTGTATGAAAAACTTTAGTTATAATCTTTTGTTGATATAGGTTTGGTAATTTGGCGGTGGTCCACTACAGAATAATCGCTATTGAGGAACTTTAAAAGGATACTAACTTAACTTAATAATTTTTCTTTTAGTTTAGTTTTTCAATAGCGATTATTCTGTAGTGGACCACCTAGATCATTAAACAATAGTTTTTTTTGTTAAGTGACAAAAAAAGTTAATATGGGTTTGAAAAACTAAACTAAAAGAAAATTTATTATGTTTAAGTTAAGTTAATATGGGAAATGATGCTTTGCAAACTTAGAATATTCAATGGCTAATTATTTTGATCAAAACATGCCGGAGAGTGGCAAAGGGATCATTAATAATTTTAACTTAACTTAATAATTTTTCTTTTAGTTTAGTTTTTCAATAGCGATTATTCTGTAGTGGACCACCTAGATCATTAAACAATAGTTTTTTTTGTTAAGTGACAAAAAAAGTTAATATGGGTTTGAAAAACTAAACTAAAAGAAAAATTATTATGTTTAAGTTAAGTTAATATGGGAAATGATGCTTTGCAAACTTAGAATATTCAATGGCTAATTATTTTGATCAAAACATGCCGGAGAGTGGCAAAGGGTTAGTGCCGAAATAGGCGTAGATAATGCATATATACCTATAGTCATATTAGTTGGATGAAGAAGTTGGTCATAAGTTTTATACAGTTGATACTTTGGAGAGTAGCAAAAGGCGCTCCCCGAGCCTCGCTCCCTGAGCCTCGCTCCCTGCCTCGCTCCCTGAGACGCTCCCCGCTCCCCGAGAGGCTCCCCGCTCCCCGAGAGCCGCGCTCCCGAGAGCCGCCGCCGCGCTCCCGAGAGCCGCCGCCGCGCTCCTGCGCTCCTCTCGAGGCGCCGCGTTCCCCGAGAGGCGCCGCGCTCCCCCCGAGAGGTGCCGCGCTCCCCGAGAGCCGCGTTCCCCGAGAGCCGCGCGCGGTCTCCCAGAGAGCCGCGCGCGGTCTCCCAGAGAGCAGAGAGCCGCGCTCCCTGAGAGCCGCGCGCTCCCAGAGAGCCGCGCGGTGTGCGCGCTCCCAGAGTGGTGCGCGCTCCCAGAGAGCCGCGCGCGGTGAGAGCCGCGCGCTCCCAGAGAGCCGTGCGCTCCCAGAGAGCCGCGCGCTCCCAGAGAGCCGCGCGCTCCCAGAGAGCCGCGCGCTCCCCGAGACGCGCGCTCCCCGAGACGCGCGCTCCCCGAGAGCCGCGCGCTCCCCGAGAGCCGCGCGCTCCCCGAGAGCCGCGCGCTCCCCGCGCGCTCCCCGAGAACCGCGCGCTCCCCGAGAGCCGCGCGCTCCCCGAGAGCCGCTCCCCGAGAGCCCCGCGCTCCGAGAGCCGCGCTCCGAGAGCCGAGAGCCGCGCTCCGAGAGCCGCGCTCCGAGAGCCGCGCTCCGAGAGCCGCGCTCCGAGAGCCGCTCCGAGAGCCGCGCTCCGAGAGCCGCGCTCCGAGAGCCGCGCTCCGAGAGCCGCGCTCCGAGAGCCGCGCTCCGAGAGCCGCGCTCCGAGAGCCGCGCTCCGAGAGCCGCGCCCCACTCCGAGAGCCGCGCCCCACTCCGAGAGCCGCGCCCCACTCCGAGAGCCGCGCCGCGCCCCACTCCGAGAGCCGCGCCCCACCCCACTTTGAGAGCCGCGCCCCACTCTGAGAGCCGCGCCCCACTCCGAGAGCCGCGAGCCGCGCTCCGAGCTCCGAGCTCCGAGCTCCGAGCGCTCGGCTTTGAGAGCTCCGAGAGCCGAGAGCCGCGCTCCGAGCCGCAGGGAGCTCCCCGAGCCGCGCTCCCCGAGCCGCGCTCCCCGAGCCGCGCTCCCCGAGCCGCGCT